TTTAAAAATATTTTTTCTATTTTTCAACTTTTAATTTAATGAAAAAAAGGGTTGTGCGTTAGCATTATTATTAAATAAATAAAAGTTATTCCACACAATTTTTCGAAAATATACATTTCTTTTAACTTTATTATTTTAAGGAATAATTTTAAAAAATAAAAAAATTATTCTAAAATTTTAAATTTTTCCAAAATTTTCGATGAATTTGATTTAGAAAATTCGCTTGAATTACACTACAATATAAGATTATATTATTCAAAATTTATTAGAAAACAAATCATTTGTTATTATTATTATTGTTAATATTTATTTTTATTTTATTATTATTTATTATCTAATTTATTATTGCTAATTATTATTATTAATATTATTATTAATTGTTATTAATTATTATTGTTATTATTATTATTATTAATTTATTATCAATTTATTGTATATCGGAAATTCTTTCCTCGCACTTTTTTGTTCTTTCTTTCTATTAAATAACCGAAGAGAGATGAAAATGTTCTTAATGTTCGTTGTTAAGTTTGAAATGCCAGTTTAAGGAAATGAAAAGAAAATTGTGCAAAAATTATAAAATTACATAAGCGAGCGAATCGCTTTTCGATTTGCTGGCTCTTTATTTAGTAAAATTTATTATTTTTAGCAAAGAAATTAGCAAATTTTCCTAAAAAATAAAAAAATTCCTCTTTTACTTTGCAGAAAAATTTTCACTTATAATAAAAAATCCGATTAGAAAAAAAAAGAAATTTGAAAAATTGGAGAATTTTTAAAGAAAAATTTTCCTAGCACATAAGGAAGTGATAAGCGATTAGCGTTGACAATTTCACTTTTGGATAGTCGTTGTTAATTAATTTAATGAGATATTTTTGCTATGGAAATCATTCGAAAATAAAATAAAACTACGCTATAGTAATTTTTAATGGAAGGTTTGAGGCAAAATCGGATATGTGCGCAACAATCTCTCTTGAAAGGAGCATGATAGATTTCGAGGAAGTTGCAGGCGAAGTTGTAGAGTTTGAAGGGACAAGCGGGAACCTAAAGGCAAAGAACTGGCTTTGAGGGGGCAGCGGTGGTATTTAAGCAATATTGGGAAGAACTTCGAACTTTCCCTCGAATGGCTCAATGGGCCGTTGCTTAGATTTCGGAGTATTGAGATTGGAGTTCCGTGTTCCTCCATGACGAAGTTGATTTTTCAAAAATCCTGTTGATCCTCATTCCTCCATTGCTGTATAATTTCCTCGGCAAAATTTCTCTGATTAAACAATTCATTGATACGAATCTAATCTAATCACAAATGATAAGCGTCTTTAGAAAAAAATACTGTAAAATAAGAGTTCTTTTAATTTTCATCGTTTATCGAAAAGTTTATTTTAAATTACTCTCGAAATGTATCGCTTATAATTTTGGAGCATTTTGGAGAATAATATTTTTCTTATAGTCCAAATAAATTTTCTATAAATAAATTTTCTTTTCTGATAAAAAAACTTATATTAATAGCATCGATAATAAATATTGGCAGTGATAAAATAATAATAATAGTAATAAATAATAAAAATAAATACCAATGATAATAATAACAGTAATAATAATAAAAAATAAATAATAATGGAATTTAATAAAAAATAATAAAATTAAAATTGATAATATTTATTTATCTTCTTTCTCGAACAAAACAATTTTCTATAGGAAATTTTTCTGAAAAATTTTCTTTTTAGCTCTTTCACCATGTAAAAAATGGAAAATCAATTTTAGTCAAATATAGTACTTAAGAGAAAATGCTGGCTAAAACCTCGACCCTGGCAGGACTCGAACCTGCAATCTTCGGATCCGAAGTCCGACGCCTTATCCATTAGGCCACAAGGCCATCAGTTTTCGTTCAAAATTGATCAAAATCGATTTTTAGAATTTTCATGGTGATTTTAAAGCAATATTTAATTAAAAAATTAAGAAAATATTTTTATTTTTTTATTAAATTGCAGCAAACATGTATAAAAATTGGCATTAATATAGGAATAAAAAGATTTTTATTTCAGATTTTTGTTTTTTTTCCTTTTTCATAATATTTTTGAAATTATTGTTATTATAACATTTTTTATATATTATATTATTATTATAATATTGCATTATACATTATTATTATTGTTAAAATATATTTTATATTAATGTTAAAATAATATATTAATATATATTATATATTATTGCTATTATTATCAATACTAATAACTATTAACACTATTTATTATTTTTATTATTATTAATATTATCGTACTTGTACTGGCATTCGCGTTATTAATTAATTAATATAAATAAATAATGTTAATATATTATATTATTTACTTATAATTGTTATAATATATTGTAATTGGTACCATTGCAGTTCGATTCCCCGCAGGAGCAAACCTGTACAAAAATCCGTGCGATGCTGGCGACTCACCTGTACTTCTATCGCCAAGAAATTCTCTGGCATATTGCTCAATGCGACAAGCCATGGAGTGAGTTTAACCAGTAATGGTGAGGACTCTTAAGAAGAAGAAGAAGAATTAGTACCATTTATCTTATTAATTATTTATTTATTTATTATTGCATTTTAATTTCAACTCAGTGTCGTATCCCAGTGTTATTTCAGTATGGGTACCAATGCTGACGTTAGATTTCACTCAAATGGAAGGCACTACTAGGATTGTCGGGCCACTGATATCCTGCCTGAGATTATGATTTATATTTCGAATATAAGTATTAAAATATTGGTCATTTTTTCAGTGCTGACAGTAGCTGGGTAACGCCATCCTCTCTTGACGATATCTCCTAAGGTACTTGTGCTTTCAGTTTGAATGATTATTGGATGCATCGAAATCGACAATTTGAAGATGCGAGTCTTTTTAGAATACCGAGGGTACCGAGGGTTTCCTTGTACCGAATCAAACATTTCCTGCATAATCGTCCATTTATTCCGGTTATTTTTAAATCAAATCTTCCTGCAAGAACTCCCTCTTAGACTGACGAATAACTTTATTGCAATACAAAGTAGACAAATTTGCTAAAAATTTTTTCTCTAATTAGACTTTATATACGCGAAGTTCGCGAAACTGTTTTCCCTCTTATCGTTATACTTTTTTTACGCGAGAATCATCAAAAACATTTGCTTTGTTAAATATAAATATTCTGTTCAACTGTTTGTCGTGTTGACAACGGTTTTTTTCTCATTTATTATAAAATAGAGTTCTTCTTTTTGCCTTTTTTCGAAATTTAAAGATGGATTTTCAAAATTTGCGAAAAACTTATGGACATCTGTGAGTCGCAGATATTTAAAATGCTTAGGACCCGTAGATTTTGTGAGTCGCGGATATTTAAAATGCTGAGGACCCGTAGATTTTGTGAGTCGCGGATATTTAAAATGCTGAGGACCCGTAGATTTTGTGAGTCGCGGATATTTAAAATGCTGAGGACCCGTAGATTTTGTGAGTCGCGGATATTTAGGATGTTCATAACCATTAGAAGTTCGATGGATACTTGAAATCCCTAAAATCTGTGTATTTGCGAATTTTGGTTATTTCAAATGGTTCTTTTGCTTTTCCTTTTTTTCAGAATGATTCGATGGAAATTTAGAAAAAATAATTTAAAAAGTTTCTTCTTTTTTTGAAATTCTCTGATCAATTCCGTTGAAAAGCTTATTTCTCTATAATTTCACAACAAATCGCTTCGTTTCAACGATCGAATACAATCGATGCGCTTTTAAGAGGGGTCAAAGGTCTACACGTCCAAAGTTATTTGTTTTTGTATGCGTATACATTGGGCGATACGGAAAGAATAATGGCAAAAGTTCGACCCTGGCAGGACTCGAACCTGCAATCTTCGGATCCGAAGTCCGACGCCTTATCCATTGGGCCACAGGGCCCCACCTCCACTATTGAAATTTCTTTAGAAATGATCAGAAAAACTATAGGAATTCATAAACGACCATTAACTTTTTCTTTTTTTCTTCAACGCTAAACTGAACTAAAATTGCTAACCTCGACAAAATATTGATCGGAAATAATCAACGAATCAACTCGAAAAGTACTCAAATCAATTTTTTCCTTTTCCTTTCCACCTAATAATATTCAATAATAATAATTTTCACCATTTTTAACTATATTAATTGTTCCAAAATTAATGGGGAGGGGGTCAAAGGGAGGGGAAAGGGGGAGGGTGGGTGCTACAATGTCAGATTGCCTATATTGGAGTTCAATTTCCAGCAGATATAAATCTGCCTTTCAAAAATGTTCCTGTCGTCCCTTATTTCTGTCGTCCCTTACGAAAATTATTTCGTCAAATAAGCAAGTCAGTGGAGTATATTTAAAACAAAAATGGTGAACGTTTTTTGAAGAAAAAATTCCCAAGAGTTCCCAAAATCGTTAGGAAACGTGGCGATATGGAAATAGAGTTTCTAGCGCCATTCGAATTTCACTTCTAATGCGAGGTTCGCAATCTAACGAAAAAGTTCGCATCTACGTGGCCGTAATGTGCGTAATCACGCTATGTGTCCGCAAAACGTGGCCAATGAGAGTGGAAAATATCAGGAAATTATCAGAAAAAATTAAAGACCGTTCCGGCCTAATTTACATTCTACAAAGCCATCAAGCCGAAAGAGTCGCATAGAAATGCATCCATCTTTGACGATTGTTACCTCAGACTTCGCTAATTTCGCTAGTTAGGCCATTTCTGCGTCGACTGTCACAAAAGTTGACATCTCCATTAGCTATATCATGGATAGCGTCAGAGGCGAGGAAGATAGCCTATAGACGCCCAGATGATATGGAGGATTGAGAGGAAAAACGAGTTACTTTCAGGCATGGCATATCTTATGCTGGCGGTGGTACCCACCAAATCAAATTATGCACTGGAGCAAAAGTAGACCGGGATTTATTTATAGTATTTGGCTAGAATTTTTTTTTTTGTAATAACAATAGTACAACAAATATCGTTGGGCAGCCAAAAAATTAGCAAGTGAATAGTTTTTAAATTCCACGAAGAATTCCAATACAGCATTGACCGCATTCCGTCCAACATTGCTTCAAGCAATTTCCTTCTTCTTCGACCACTTGTTTTTCTAAAGAATTTTTATTAAATAATTTTATTTTTATAAAAAAAATTTATTAAGGTAATAAAATTTAAGAGCGTATAATAATTTCTTTTAATTCCCTGTAATTCTTTAAAATGATTTAAAAATATAAAAATAAAATTCTTTAAAATGATTTAAAAATAAAAATATATAAAATAATAAAAAATAAAAATATAAAAATAGAATAAAAATATAAATATATAATTTGATAACTTACTTGTTCCATCCGTAGTCGTGCCGATTCTGATCAAAACTTTATTATTTGTTGGCTGAGGCTGCTGTGAAATCAATGTGGGGTCGTTTAGAATCCTTAATTGCACTTCATTTGCTCTAAGCTTAAAAAATTCCATATATGCAAATAAAAAAATTTCTTAAGTTCATGTTTATGTTTACATTGGCGAGTATCAGCTGATCGGACCAAATGGAACCCAACCAGTAAATAATGGTTTTAGGCTCTGAGTGGTTGTGGCTTTAATTTCCCTGTCTTAGGTCGATATCCTGTCGGTTCGCCTACGTTTCTTAATCTACTTATATTATTATCTTATGTATGCGGAAAAAGATCATCTAAAAATCTACCAAATGTCAAAATTCTTCTCAATCGACATTAAATACTATCTCGATGCCCCCCCCCCCCCCCCCCACTCCCTCTATAATAACTAAATTTAGTTATTAAAAACTCGTTTATTACTATAACTCGTTTATTTCAGTCTGGATAAATATAGCCACAAATGCTGTTGTCAGCCTAGATGGAACGAAATCTTTTTCGTTGCACTACATACAATCCTGTGGCAAGGCTGCGAAACGTGTCTATTTACCACCACAATTACCTTAGGAAATATCCGCCAGGCCGATAAAATCTCACATTTCACCTTTGGGCAACGCTGGTTAGGCAAAATTATCCTCGCTATAATTTTTGTCATGCATCACATGAACTGGCTTATATCTCGCTTTACACCAAGTTTTACAACGAAAACGAAGAGGCCCAACTATGATTTGGGTTGAAATCAAATCGCGAAAGGATGGCCCAGCGGAGGGAATTATTATTTGAGCGCTTACATTTTGATCGGATTTCGTTTTTTTCCTTAATGCATTATTCGTATTTGTTGTAAGATTGCTGCCCTCGAGCGGCTTTCCCGTTGAGGAGGTAGTTTTGTTCATATCAGCCGATAATGGAGTTTTCGAATCTAAAAAAAATTTTCAAAATTTCGAAAATATTCTTGGATATTCATAAGAATTTTTTTAAAATTCAAATTTTAAAATTATTTTTCAAAACAAACAATTCATCATCGTCTAAAGATAATTTTCGAAAAAATAATTACATGTGTATTGTCTCGTTGATTGATGGCAGCAGTTGCATTTTTCACGATCATCTGTTGTCGTTAATACACCAAAGCCATCAGCGTCCTCGATAATTGTGAAAAAATGTCCAACTGTTAGTCCATTAATGAGAAGCCGAAAAACTTATGCAAAAGTTAAATTATATGAACGCCAATATGAACGAATAGAATCGCCTAGTAGGTTATTGTTCATTTGTTTCGGAACTCTGGTACTTGGGTTCTACTGTCGCTGGAATATTTTTCAGAATCCGGACGGCTCTGGCGATCTACCTGTCCTTCTATCACCAAAAGTGATTCTCTGGCAAAATTAGAAGTCTATTAGAAGTCAAAAATATTAAGCGATTTTAAACTTTGATTTGTCTTATCATTATTATGTATTTGTAAATTGATAAAAGATAAAATAAAATAATTTTATAAATAAAATAAAATAAAAGTGATAAAATTTACCAATTTATAATTTCTTCTTGCAAATCACTTCGAGTCATTGAATTTGTTTTTATTCCAGGCAAAATTATCCTCGCTAAAGAATGGATTTCCTCATCGTTCATTTCTAATATTCTTTTCTGTTTCTTCATTTCGTTATTTCGTGGATAACTGAAAATTTTTTAACCGAATGTGCAGAATGTTTTAGTTATTGCATTGCATTCACGCATTTCGGAGCATCGAGGTCGAGGAGGCTTTGTTCTCAGCGGAAATATCCTTAAAGAATTCAGGTGACCCACCTGTACTTCTAATGTCAAGCGGTTCCCCTGGTGAAAACTGTTTGGTTTGATAACCAACACAGCGAATCTAAACAAAAATAGCGAGCGTTCTTTGTAAAAAATTATGTAAATTTATTGAAAGAAACAACTGCGTAAACTAATATAAAAAGCAATTTTAAAAAGGTATTATTTATTAGAAAAGAATTTCATTTCACTGGCAAAGGTAAAATTATGGTGAACACAAATCTTCAAAAAAAGATTAATTTTTGATTAACCAGAGCTGTATTCATTTGTGGTTAGCGTTTAATATTTCGAGTCCAACTCGTTCCACCGCCTAGTAGGATGAAACACGTCAGAGAATTGCCACAGGTGGCAAGATTTGCTACTTACTTAGGCTGGTTGTCAAGCGAAAAAGTTTGGATCTTATCTCCAATTGGAACTTCATTAAAGAACCAAAGTATTGCTGAGGACACATCTCCATAAGCTTACTGCCCAGCCAAAAATATGTCATTGTGCTAGGATAGCCAGGAAAACGATTATAATTACCATAGAACGATGACGAGAATCCGTAATTTTGATTTAAAAAAAAGCATAATGAATCGACGTGCTAGTCGAGTTTAAAAAAAAACCTTAGTGAAACGCACCTTAGTGATCACTACGGTAACAGCTGTTCACCAGACAGTCGTCGCTTGGCAGGTAGAAATATATTTGGATCGTAGCATTAGCACCAACCATTAATAATAGTTTTACCCTTTTAAGGGACGAAAAATTAATATACTTGTATACTTAACTCATTTGTCCAATACTCGATTTATCTCAATTGCTTATAGATAAATCATTTATAAAACAAGCGAATTGAGAAAATGCAAATATCCATCCATCAATTTTTTTCAAAGATCCATTTGATGCCAGTGGTGATGGTGCTTCGGCTGCTGGTGTGTTCTGCTAGGATCCGATGAACCAACTCAGCTATGCGTCTATCACCGAGTGACTCTCTAAGTGAAATTTGTCGGATCCGACAAGCCAACGAAACAAGAAATGGTGATCGCTTTTAGACAAAAAAACCCCGAATCCGACATATATATTTAAAAATGAAATCTTCTTAATTTTTTCATTTAATTTCTTTTAAAATAAAAATATATTTGGAAAAAAAATCTAAATGTTACAATTCTAAAAAACTATGAAAAACTATGGTTTGGTTTTTTTTCCAGTAAAAATCCACTTATTGATCAATCAGAAATGAAAACAACGATTCAAACATTGGATCGAAATTAATTTTCGGGAGGAAATTTTTTGTCGCATGACGGATTATATCATACAAAACTATTATAATGCGGCGATATTCCTGATTTATATTTTAATACTCATCGCTCGAACTCATTTTTTTTACACCTCTCCCCTCCCCCTCCCCCTCACCCCCCAATTTCCCTTTCATTTTCTCCCCACACTTCAACAGTTCATCTCTCTTCAAATTTTTGTATGAATGCTGACGACCAAACAATTTTCTCGTTTTTCTAAAATCCAATTGCCGATCTTTACAATTTTAACGTATTTTTATAACAGTCAGTTGATCAGTTATTTATCCCAAAAGTCTCTTATTTTGCCTCAAAATAAAAATCCAATAGTCGTAAACAAACCAATATATGCAAAAAAAGGAAAATTTTTTTGAACGAAAATCCATTATTCTATTAAAATTTAATCCATCACTCGCATAACTTTCAGTTATTTCCATCAACGATAGCAAATGAATTTATAATTCTTATTCCTTATTATTCTTATTCTTATCAAATTTTAGCAAATTTTTACTATTTTACAGAAAATCGACTTAATCGAATGTAAACATTACTACTAAAAATCAATTTATTATTAATATTCTGGTACAAACCTAAATAATAGTAAATTTTTTTAAGGATCTTCAGGATGTCAAGTCAGCAATTATTTACATTTTCCTTTTTTGCAAAAGGCATAGGACTTCTATATGAAAGAACCTCCTTTCTGTTGACCCAACGATAGGCGGAATTTCTTTAAAAAAATTTTTATAAATTTATGAGCCAACTTTTTCGAGTTTGTACGAAACAAGCAAAATCAGTTAAATTCCTTTTTATTTTTGCGAATAAAATATTTTGAACAGTTCGGAAAAACAAAGTTGAAAAATTGAAGTCTATGCACCAAATGAGAAATGCTTTTCAAAGTTTTCAATCTGGATCACGCCTGACGTCGCTTAAGCCAATACCTTGCGCTACCGGTAACAAACCTTTCATGACCATTTCATGACGTTTCACTCCCCAATTATTTCTCTCTTCTCGTGTCCATCGAGAGATGAGACCATCGGCCATTAGCCTTATGGCTGCCTGAACAGCAAACTTTTAGCCAACATATTCAAAACAGTTTATGCGAAAAATATTTCATTTCATTCTCAAAGTGGATAAATGAATAAACGATTTTGTTCTTTGATAAGATTCACAAAATTGACCATAAAAGACAAACATTTTCGTGATTACGAAACGGATGCTTTCGCCATTCTGCTTCAAGATGGCCTGGAGTGTTGATATAAAATGGTTTTTTGGGAGGTTTTTTCAATGGATAACGTCCTTCTCCATAAAAATCATCAAGTTTCAACCGCTAAAACAACAAAATATGTTTTCCATCAATTGAAAAAAAGTTAATAACTAAAACGCTTAGTAAACGGGAACATAAAACGAATGGTGATAATTAGAATTGAAGATTATCAATAATCACTGTGAAACACTGATAAACTCTGACTTCTTTTGGAGTAATTTCATCTTCTTTTTTTAACTGTGAATATTTAGGTGATGCAACGATTTCTGGAAGATAATGGTGATGCGGAGATAATTTAACGACATGCAGACCCTTCCTTTCTGCTAATTCTTCATGAGTTTCTTGATTCAGTAAACCTAAAAAATTATTTCTTACCTTAAACAATTATTAAACAATTGAAAGGACCATGGAATACAGAAAGCAAAAAAATACTTCACCTGTAAGAAAAGCATGTGTCAAGGCAAGGTAGTTCGTCGTGGATCCCTCTACCTTGGCATACAAATCCTTTATACCGACTAACTATAAAGAAAATAAAAATTTCTCCAAAAATTTTTGAAAGAATGCAGAAAATTTTTGCTTCGAAATAAAATTCTTAGAGATAAGTTTACAATAGAGATAACAAATATAAATTAAGAAAAATCATAATGGGGAAAATTCACCAATTAATAACAACCAAGAAAGAGAACATGAAAATTGAAACAGAAAGAGAAAATTACTTCGCATATCTTTATTAATCTAGGATGACAATGCAGCCCGTGACCGGGAGGACATCTCTGAGCAAATATTCGGGTATTTCTACACTCGGCATAAAAATCCTGATAAATTGTACGATCTTCAAGCAATTCTACATGAAAAAGTTTCCGAGAAGCTGCTTTTAATGCAGTAGCTACTGCAGCCATTGGACGAAATATGTTAGATTTTGCTACGGCATAACCGACAAGCCCTTTACCATTTCCAGTGATAACGAGAGCATTCATAGTAAATTTTCTTCCACGAGTTGTCATATTTATGGTTCTTTTGAGCTAAAATTATTAATATTACCTGTGATATACAAAAAAATATTAAAAATAATTCAGTCAAATCTTCTCCTTTGAATGGTACCACCACTGGCTACTAGGACAATTGGAGATAGATGGATCCTTAACACTGGATTTCATTGTTAATAACAGTTTTATTCTCGTCAAGAACCAAGAATCAACCTATCTTCAGTTTAATAGCATCATAAAAAGGAAAAAATTAAAGTAGAAAGAAGAAAAAAAATAAGAAAAACATGCTAAATACCCACCACGAGACAGCACGAATCGAAACCGTCGAAAGTAACATCGCCTATTGGTGGCGGAGGACCTAATTTTTGTCCAGCAACCTTCGTTCCCGAAAAACCTCGTAGAAGAGAATGAATCTTTTCTTTATTAATTCTCCTACCTCTAAATTTACAAAGAATAAAGTAATTTTAAAAGCATATGGCACAATTAATCTAATTTAAAAAATTCAAAATCTAATCTAGAAAATTCAAGACTGATTCTGCGTATCGCTCTATGAAATCATATATTTCAAAATATCTCAAAATAATCTTATATTTAAAAATAATGGTATTTACAATCATACATATATTGATAATCAAAATTAAGGAAAACATGGCTCTGACTTATTTTAGCAATTGAAAAAATAAGCAAAACAACTATTATGAAAATTACACAACAATGGCTTATTTTATCGTAAATTTGAACTACTTAATAAGAGAAATTCGTACAGTTTAGTCGATTTCTCTTTTATTGCAGTAATAAATTTTTCTTGAACTTCATTGACATAATCTTCGGTAGGCTCAATCAATTCCATTTCTTTTTGGTGTAAAGGCGCATTTAAGCCAGGGATACTAACTCGAATGGGACCTAGAAAAAAATTTTTTGAAAATTTCTTTTGAAATTCTAAAAATATGAAATCCTTAAAAAACTTATTTAAATATAAAAAATTTAAAAAATAAAAATCAACCTAAAAATTTTTCTTGTAAGTTTTTTGGCTTAATAATGAAGAAAACAAAATGAAAAAATGAAATAAAAAGAGAGCTTACCTGCACCAATCCTAAAAAACTTATGAAGTGGTCTGATAGGCTGTCGTGTTCGCAAACGTCCTTTTTTTTGACCAGCTTTGCTGACACTTGTCACCGTCTTCCATAGTTCAGCACTTGAACCTACAATATCGAATAACTTATCACTTGAGTGAAATAAAGGGTTTTGTTGAATCTTATGAATGCTTTTTTCTTTAAAAAAGTCGGAATTCAAAAATTTTCTAATATTTTCTAATATTTTTTACAAACAACTATTTCTTCTAAAGACTACTCGAATATTAACAGTTTAACTGGTTGAAAAATATGAGAATCACCGATTTTGATTGTATGATATGATAGTTGAACATTGCCAATATTCAAAAAAAGATGTTAAAATAAAATATTTGGCACTTGTGATCCGCTAAAATGGCCAATGATTTCAACAAAAGCTTTATTGTCAACTTACGTCGCATAAAGAAATTAACAGTGTTACAACGCTGCTGCATGAATGATATTAGTGATAAAGCCATGTTATCTACCCCTAAATAAAAATCTCATATAGTAATCAACAAAACAATAAATTCAGAAGGACCGACGTTAATATTTCTTGAAATCCAACTAAACACCAAGCCATTCTCCCCTATACGAAGATGTCATACATCTTTATTTCAATAGAACGTAAATGAAGAGTCGAAATATGAAGATAATAAATGTATAATACTATAATCAAGTCTATGAACGATAAATGGCTGCAAAAAAAACAATTTTATTTAATAAATTAAATTAAAAATAAATTGTTAAATAAATAAATATTAAATACAGTATAAGGCCAATGGTTCTATGAAAATTTGCATTAATTTGCATCGAAATTTAACCTTCTTGGATTAAGCAAAAATTTTTTTTCAGAGAAACTTAATTAGTATAAAGAAATTAACAAAAAAAAAGAAATTGTATTCTTAAAAATTTGAATGAGTAAATACCATTAAAATACAAAAAAGGCAAAAAGACAGCGCTGAAGAAATTTAAAAATACAAGAATGATGACTTTCCATACTGTAAAATACTCGTAAAAAGAAAGTGGATAAAAAACCTCCATTTTCCCAGAAAGACTTTGTTATACATAAAATATCGAAAAGATAGAAAAACTAAAGCATAATCAAAAAAATAAAAAAATTAACCGAAAGGAAAGAAGCAATAAATCAACTGTTTGCTTGAATCCTCTTAGTAGAATATACAAAATTTCCAAATTATATTTCTATTTCTAAATGAGGATCCAAGAAACTAATCAAAGTCGAGAAATAACTTGGCGAGGAATGAAAAAAAAGTACCCGTTCTTATAAGCATCTAACTTCACTCGTCATTCCAAGCAGACCTCAATTTATTAACTGTCGCAATAAGTGACCCAAATATTTTCTTTATCTTTGCAAGGCAAAAAATAATGGCCTAAAAAAGAGGGCCGAAAAGTAATAATCGAGTTCAGAAAGAAAAAAGGCCTAAATATATTCAACATAATTCCAAGGCAAAAATTTTCAAATGGCGTTAATTAACTGCAGCATTTCTTTGTCTTTGATGATTCAGCCAAATCAAAGGAATTAATAATGCGATAAAAGCCATTAAATAAACATCCCAAGCTGTGCCAAAGATATAATCTAAGTTTGACGCCAACGAATACTGAAAAATAACCGATCATATTAATATTGACCCAGCCTATGTATACTCTCATATCAGTAATATCCTAAATTTTAATAACCAGTTCTAAAAACTATATTACCTACTGTAAAAATCATTTTTTAAAGGATACATTTAAAAAACGCAAAAAATCCAGTATCTGCAATTTGATAGGACCGAAGTTTTCATACATTTTGAAAAATAGAACGATTAAAACCTAAAATTAAAGCCTTAAATTTCTCTCTAATAAAATCTCTTCAAAATCATATCAACTATTTTTAACCAGAAAAATTCAAATGATACCTCTCTTAGAAGATCGTAGAAAAAGAAAAGCGAAAGTTTTATTAAAGCCAAAGTAACAGGAATATAAGCGTCAACGCTGGTTTCAGCTGCCATATCATAGAACCTTTTCGCCAAATGAAGATCCTAAAAACAAATCTGGATCTTCAAATTTTCTAGTTTCTTATTTTTTGATTGGATTTCTGTTAACAGTATGGATGTGATAAATTTTTCATATAATTATCATTCATTTTCAAAATTAGTTACTATAAACCATAAAATGTCGAAACGATACATATGTAATTTTTTTTTACAAAACAATAGTAATCAAATTAGATGGGATATATCATGTGTCCTCGAAAATCTATAGTACCATTTTCTTTTCTAACAGCCGTGCAGCTTACTTCAAGAATTTATCATTGCTGGTTAGGCTCATTCCTCTAGCTCAGACCAGACAAATTTTGCCAGGTTGTTAATGATGGAAGTATATAAAGTGAGCCACCAACATCACTCTCGACGGTACCATTGCAGTTCATTAATTTAACACCTTGATATATAAAATGAATGCAAGTATACAAAAAAAACCTTGCTTAATCCGAGACCTTGTTCATGCATATAACCAAGATTGAACATAGCTTGAGCAGCTTGATGCCTATCACTGGCAATTTTATAATGTGCTGCTGCTAATTCATAATCTACTGGAGTACCATATCCATAATAATGATAATCGCCAAGTTTAATCCGAGCTACAACGTAATCTTGCTCAGCCGATCGCTGCCAATGCAAAAAGGCACGTTGTAAGGCTTCTTTTTTAGGGAACATTCCCAATTCACCTGAATACATGTCGAAATATAAAAAAAAATTTCCATAATATTTCTAAATGATCTGGTAATATATTTTGAATATCGATAAATATAACTTTATATAAATATACTTTACCTTGATCTATAATATAAGCAAAATTTGTCTGAGCTGGTTCATAGCCTAGCTCGGCGAGAAATAAATATTTGAAAGCTGCTTCATCCTTGTGCCCAGCACGATAACTCATATATGCTTCCATTAGACGTTCAGACCAGCGGCCTCTTTCAGCTACGTTTTTATATAATTCGACTGCAGTCTTACAGTTGCGTAAAACACCCGTTCCTGAAAGTAAAGAAAAATGTCACAAAAATATCCAACAAAATCAGTGCAAAGAGAAAAAATACATGGAAAGAGTAAATAATCCCAATAAATTTTAAAATTAGAATTCTAAATTATCATAAGAATCGTAACAAACCAGTAGCATGCATCTGAGCTAAATTATAATATGCCAAAATATGACCGGATTGAGATGCCATCTGGAAATATTTGACAGCCAATTTAAAATCTCGTTTTACGCCTAAGCCTCCTTAAATAAAGTAATATAAATAAGTACGAATTTTTATGCTATATAGGCCAATAATATTAAAAAACTGCATGTTATCATTTAATTAATTCAATTAAATCAATTTTTTCTAAAATATATAAAAATTATATCTGCATTTATATATTTCAATGTAATTTATGAGTAATCCATTCCATGCAAAAGTGCTTACTATAATGCATGTGACCGAGATTCAATTGCCCATCAACCCAGTTTTGTTCTGCGGCTAGCGTAAACAATTTCAGAGCTTTACTATAGTCTTGTTTAACACCTTTTCCATATAAATACATAACACCTAAACCACTTTGACCAATTGGATTGCCCTGGAATATTTTTTTACATAACAAAGTATTTTAAAAGCTCAAGCATTTCTTTAAAATCTATATGTAAAATATGGATGTAAAATACGCCATAAAAATGGATTTGAACGAAAAAAATCCAGAAGAAAAATAGAGAATAGAGAAAATAAAAATAGAGAACCCGGTCAGCAGCTTTTTTGAAAAATTGAAAAGCTGTTTGATTATCCTGAGGAGTCGCAGTTGTTCCATCTAGGTACATTTTTCCTAGATGTGCATGAGCGGATGAACTTCCCGATTCTGCAGCTGCGGAAAAATAATGACTGGCTAACTCTACATCGCGTTCAACTCCGCGACCACCTGTTAAATATAGCTGCCCAAGACCAATCTTTAAATTAAAAAATTTTAAGTCCACTTTGATAATACAGCAATGCATTTGGAAAAAAAATATGGCAGATTTTTGAGCGAATGTATTTTAAAAAAATATGCCTTAGTATAACCTGAGCTTGGATATCTCCTTTGTCCGCCAAGTATTTATAATAATTCAGTAAATTCGCATCCAGTACAGTATTTGTAGCTTGTGCGGCAGAAGGAATTGTTGAATCCTAAAAGGTAAAAACATCCTTAATAACCACTTTTTAACCTCTCATAGTAGAAAATTTATGCATAATATTTTGTATCAGCGATAAAGTAATAAGGCTTTTTCATATTATTGAAGTGTAATATCAAACAGAATCTTCACAAATATACTTGAAAAAAACAAAAAAAGCATGAGCAAATAATTAATAAAAATTATAGGGCAAAATTTAAATAAATAAAATTACAAATTCATCGGGTAGTCGAATTCTTTGGAGTGCCATGCCTCCTGTAAGGCGCACTTGCGAGGCAACACGAGATGCAACTTTCTTGTACCAAATTAATGCTCTTTCACAATTTTGTGGCACAGATATTCCTGCCCAATTACGATAACCCTGTAAGAAATCTCTTTCTTTCCCTATTTTACAAAACCAAAGTTACAGCCAATTTCAAACTCCGTTTTAAAATTATTTACTATCAAAACAGAAAATGCTAAAAGATTACTAAAATAAAATATTAGATATATCAAATATGAAAAGATCTAACCAAAGCCATCTGTGCAAGTGGATTATTACCAAGTGCTGAAAAAGTATAAAAGACAAGTGCTTTTGCTTGCGAAGATTCGGGAAAACCAATTCCAGTGCCATGAAGAAACGCTAAAGCGAGCTGAGCGTCAGGCGAACCAGAAAGCGACAACAATTCGAAAGTCGTTCTTGCTTCATCAATACTCCAACGAGTATAATCACCAAATAGATAAGCATATGCTAAAAAAAAATCATTGTTAAAAGAAAAAGTAAAAAATTCAAAAAATAAGATAATAATTAAGCACCGATTAATTTCATAGAATCTCTATGCTTCAACCGTGCAGCCTCTTCAAGCAATCCATAAGCCGCTTTCTTTGCCTCGAATGACGATACACGATTTTTGTCCAGAAATTTCATTGCCGTACGATATAATTCATCAGCTTTCTTTTCCGCGTCTTTTAAATACCTAAATGTTTGAAGATTTAAAAAATTGAATAAAACAATTCTTAACAAAAACCAAATTCTGATCAAAAAAGGATAAAAAAACAATTCAGAGAAACAAAAAATACTCGTCTTCTTTGTCCTTCTCTGGAATAAATTCATCACCGGCGCTAGGAACTTGCGTATTTGTAACTCCGATTTGTTCCATTTTATAAATATCTTCTTCAGTAATGTCATATGTAGCTAAAAATATATTGAAATATATACCTTCAAATATAACCAATTTTCGAAACCAATTTCATAAAAATTTTATAAAATGAAACAATTTTAATTGTAAAAATAACAAATTATAAATAATAAATATAAATATTATATAGTACAATATAAATAACCATAATAAATAATAATAAAGATAAAAAATAAAAAAACCTGGTGACTGATTTTCAGCTGATACATCATACAATTCTCCATCATTATTTAACAAAATTAAATTGTCTCTTTCGCGTGAATTCTACAAGAAAATGACTGAAGAAAATAATGGTTAGCTGCTGAACAGCTATAACTATAATAAATAATAATGAAATAAATAAATAATAAATAACAAACAAACAACAATCAAGAATGCAGTAACAAAAAAATCAGTCATAAAATAAAATCCGACGAAAAAAACAACTGAAAAAAAAGCGACAAAGCAAACAAATTTTAGCCAATTCATTATATAAATTTCTCTTAAACTTTTCTCGCGTTTTCAAAATAAAAAAGACAAATGAATTACAAATGAATTTCTAAAATTTTGTAAACAAACGATTTTATTATCGATAAAGAAATTCTTTTAAATAAATTGAAAATAAATCCAGTTTTTAATATGGTAATGAATAATAAAAATAAAAATAAAAAGAAAAATAAAATAAAATAAAAAAGGAAAAATAAAAAGAGGAATTTTTACCGAATTACTACTTGTCGAATCACTTCCTTCACTATTTTCTTCTGAAGATGATGTTGATTGCTTCTTCTCCGTTAATTCCTTTGTAAAATAAACAAAATATATAAGAAGAAGCCAAATGGGTGACATTCCTAAATACATAAGAATTACAATTAAAACCAAAATTCACACAAAATAAAACGTTTGAAATAAAATTAACTTCGATAAAATAAACTTTGCTTTTTTTATTGTTTATTTTTCTAAAAATTTACACTTTATAAGTTTTTGCTCAAATATAAAAATATAGAGTTAATCATTCTGAAAGAAAATTCCCATTTAAGAAAAAAAACTTTTCTAATATGAAAAATATAAAATTCACAAAAAAGTAAAATATCTCTAACAAAACAAAAAATCAAAAAAAAAAAAGAAAAATAAAAATGTAAAAAAACAAACGAAACGAAAGAAAATAAAATATTTAAATAATAGAATAACAAAAATGAAGAATAATTAAATAACAATAAAAATAAATTAAAAAAATAAAGGAAATAATAAAAAATCTACAATTAACGATTATTGCAAGAAAATTTTACAGAAAAAATAGAAAAATTTTATCAGTGAAAGAAACAAACTTAGACTTAGATCTCATTTTAGAAAAAACTTTAAAATAACTTCAATTTTCAATTTTTCAATGTAAAAATTTGAAAAAAATCTTTAAAAATGAATGCCGAAAGAAAATCGCCTTTAATGGAATAAATTAATAAATAAGTGAAAACTGCTATTTTAGGAGAAATTTCGCCAAAAATAATTCATCTTTTTTTTTAAATTTTTGAAATAAAAATGATAAACTATGATAATGGAATGAAAATGATGGAATGAAAAATAAATAAATAAAGGCAAATAAAGGCAAATAAACAGAAGACGAATCACTTGTCGACAGAAGCGTAGAGATTTCGTAGCATCAATTAGTTTTTCAGCTAGGTTTTTAAAAAAACACATTTACTCCTCAGAGAGTGGAACCTCAGCAGTGGCGCTTCGAAATAAGGACAACAACTCAATGAGCAATTTCACCTCTCAAAATCAAGCAAATTTAACTAAAATAATTTGATTTCAATTATAAATTATGAAATAAAACCCTTACCTTATATCCAATCAGATTGCAAAAAAAAGCGAAAACACCAAAAACAATAAATAATTAATAAAAGAACTTAAGCTGACGTTATAAAATACAGGAAATTAACATTCGTTTCAAGATCTGAGCAGGAAGTTTTAAATTCTTAACAGCCCAAAGCCCTACTGTACGCTATTTTACCGTCATATAAGTTATATTGCCGTAAGTTACAAAATCTATTTATTATTCTGCAAATTTACATTTGCTTGTTTAATTTAATCTCATACGGATGAATATTTAATATTCTCATCCTTGCTGTGTACGAGTGGTACTACTGGACATCAGGGAGATTTCTTCGAAACAGTAACCGTAAATATGATGGTACAATACAACAGTTGTACAACATAATATGGATCGGACGGATGACACGATGCAGCCGAGTTTTGATGGTGCGGAAAGTCGCACTACCTGCTTCCCGGTCATTCGGAATAGGTTTAAGTCTATTCTGGAATTACCAAATCTACATAGAAACAAGTTCGTAGAATAACGGTATTTAGATACGAATAAATTAATGGATTAAAAAATATTAGAATATTTTATAAGCAAATAAAAAGGATCCAAGGATGAAAATATATATTGCAAGGCTGACATGTTCCGTATGATTTCATCTTCCACACCTTCACATTGAAACTTATAGAATAAAACATAAAATCACCAAAATATAGAATAAAACGTCATAAAATCACCAAAAACCCATCAAATCATTTTAAGCACTTGCGCGTCCAAGCACCAAATTACAGACAAGCTTTTCCACTTGAAAATACCTCTTCATCGAAGGATATTTTTGGCCTATTGAAAATCCACTAGATATCAAAAATGACTCCCTACGCTCGGAAATAGTATGAAATTTTACTGAAGTAACGGAAACTCTGGACCTCATGACGGATTTATCACAGCCAATGGATCAGTTAATTTTTATAAACGAGAGGACAATCCATTAATACGATAAATCAGAATGCTTGATGCCTATTATCCAAAGCACTTCAAAAATATACTTTAAATGTGCCACACGAACAACCACTCAACAATATAGGACATATTTGACCCATTCACAGGGAATATCAAAATATTAATTTTTCAAATTGACTAGAATATCTAAAAATAAAAAATATTTAAAATTTTGTTAAGAGTTAATTACGCCTAATTCTACGTTGAATTGTAAAAAATTTCACGTAATGAAAACTTTGGCACCATACAAGGAGTGAAATCCGCCTCTGATGCGGCCAACACGACAATTTTGACTTTTATTGACTACCATAAAAATTTATGAACTAAAAATAAAAATGATTAAAATAATAAAATTCACAATCCATTTTCAAAAATATGAAATAATTGAAATAAGTGAAAATAAAAAACATAACAGAATAAAAATAAAATACATTTGAAAATTTTCGCAGTTTATAAAATACTCTTTAGTTCAAATGAAATAATCCACAAATATCGAATCTTAAAAATTACCAAATGAAATAAAAAAAATAATCAACTACCACACATTAAACAATCGTCGGTATTATTAAGAGGACAGCTTTCAAATTGTTCCTTGCTAATATTTTTTTCTTTAAGCAGAGTTTTATCCACTGTGAATTGTACAGCATCGACAGCTGGACGGGTTCTCAAATAGTACATACCAGTCTTCAAACCCTACAAATGGAAATAAATTTATAAGCCACATATGTTTAAATATTTTGTGATACTATTTTGGAAATCCATTTTAAAATTGAAAGATGTACCCGATGCCATCCATAGAAATGCATACTCGTTATATTTCTGTAATTAGGTTTCGCGATGAATATGTTAAGTGATTGGGATTGATCAATAAAGGCTCCACGTTCACTTGCCATATCGATTATATCCTAAAGCTTTCCAATAATTATTCCGATATAAACGAAAAAACCCTCTTTTAATAAATTTTTCTTCAAAGACTTTTTAAAAAATTTTCTTTTATTTCTTTGGCATGGCCATTTGACAAAACAAATTAATGAAAATAAACTACTAGATACTTACTCGCTGACTCATTTCCCAAACCGTTTTGTACAGTTCACGGATTTCTTGGGGAATACGATGAATATTCTGTATCGAACCTTTTTTTGCGACTATCTCTAGCCGCATTTCATCATCCCAAAGTCCGAGCTCTACCAAGTCTTTCAATAAATGTGGATTAAAAACCTAAATAAATGAATAAAACTCGACATCAGTTTAAAAAATAAATTAAATTAGTTGAATTTAAAAAAACTAGTTGAATTTTATGAGCAATTTATTAAAAAATGACAAAAGGCTATGAAGCGGGAAGTAGCACACATAAGCTGATATTGTGTTGCATAGTGCAAAAAATTATGATTTGAAAAAATAAGTAGCAAATTACTTGGAAACTGCCCGAAAGAACATTTCGAGTGTAAACGTTACTCGTGTAAGGCTCAACACTTTCGTTATTTCCAAGTATTTGAGCTGTAGAAGCAGTTGGCATTGGCGCTAATAATAAGCTGTTACGAAGACCATGCTTAGCAATTTTCATACGAAGTTCCGACCAATCCCATAAATCAGTGGTTGTTACACCCCACATATCGTGTTGCAAAATCTAAATTTAAAATTTGAAAAAATAAAAAGAAATTGCTCTCTAAAAAAAACATTTAATTTTTCTATAAAAATGGCAGAAAATCTTGTAAATTTGTATAAGAAATTAAAAATTCTAACTCCTTTGCTAACTGGAGAGCCTTCATATGTTTCATATGTTCCACATCTTTCAGCAAGCTCACATGAAGCTTCAAGTGCAGCATGATATATTGTTTCAAAAATTTGTTTGTTCAATTTTCGGGCTTCCTCACTGATGAAAGGATATCTGAAAAAATTCAAAATTTTCACAATCTATTTATTTTAATATAGGGAAATGAAATTGTGTCCAGTAGACGAGCATTAACCTCATAAGTATAAATGCATCAGCAAGTCCTTGCACTCCAATACCAATTGGTCTATGGCGTTTATTAGATCTTTTAGCTTCCGGTACTGGATAAAAATTACCATCAATAACTTTATTTAGATTTTTCGTTATAACCTTCGTGACCTTCAAAATATATGACCTAAATGAAAAACCATGCAGGCAAAAAAATTTAAAAACGAAAAGAACCAAATGTCAATAAATGTGAATTGTGGAAGTGTCATCTAAAGAAATCTAAAGAAATAATCAACTAATATGAGCAATACAAAAACCTGGTGAAGTTTCTCGAAATCGAAAGTCTTTTCATTCGTGACAAAGCGATTCAATGCTATGGATGCCAAGTTACAAACAGCTATTTCATCTTTGGAAGAATATTCAACTACTTCTGTGCATAAATTTGAGCACTTTATGGTTCCCAAATTCTGCTGATTGCTTTTACGATTACAACTATCCTGAAAGTTCATTTTAATTAAAATTCTAACGCGGATGGCTTCAGATGCATAATACTGAAAAATCAGAAAAAACCACTGAAAAAAATATTAAATGCAAAAAATCGCCGATCAAATGGACTGTTAAAAAAAATTATCTGCTAACCTTGTAAACCATATATGGAACTCCAGTTTCTATTTGCGATGAGACAATAGCTTCCCACAATTTCCTTGCCTTAATTTTTTTCCTATATCGCCCTTCTTCTTCATACCTAAACTCCACTTAAAAATTTCCTCAAATAATTTTAGAAAATAAGAAATAAATGGGAAAAATAAGAATTGAACTTCTCAAACCATTACTGAGTATAAAGTTTTTCAAATTCCTCTCCCCAACAATCTTCAAGTCCGGGAGATTCAGAAGGACACATCAGTGACCAATCACTATCACTGTTTACTCGGTTCATGAAAAGATCGGGAACCCATAAACCAAAAAAGAGATCTCGACAACGCTCCAATTCATCGCCGAAATTTTTTCTTAAATCTAGATATTCAAAAATATCGGCATGCCATGGTTCCAAATATATTGCAAAAGCTCCAGGTCGCTATAATATAATATTTTAAATCAAAAAATGCGGTAGGCACAAACCTGCCAAAAAATGAGACAATGCATTTAAAATTAATGTCTCTTCGTTTAACAATCAAATATTTCAAATTTATAAAAATTTTAAAAAATAAAATATACTTTGTTTCCACCTTGGTCCACATATCTGGCAGTAGCATCAAAAACTCTTAACATTGGAACCAATCCATTTGATACTCCATTTGTCTACAAAAATATAAACATATATATTTATATCTACCTTTTCTTCCTTCTTCTAATAGCTCTCACCATTATTGATTATGCTGGTTCCGCTGACTACAAGAGTACCTGTCATGTTATCAAAAATCTAGATGGCTACTGGGCACCCATCCGTATCTCTATCCCCAAATGACTCTATTGTGAAAGGGCAAGATCTCTCTAATATCTATATCAGATATTTTTATATCAGATGCTAATAAGAAGGCTATTTTGTGTGGTTCTCAAGCTGACAAGGTGGACTAATAAGATTTCTAAACTACTTACACCTGCAATGCTCGCTCCAGTTGCACGGATACAATGTACATTTAAGCCGATTCCTCCAGCGCTTTTCGATATAAGAGCACATTTTTTCAGTGTCTCATAGATTCCTTCTATGCTATCATCTGACATCGTAAGCAAAAAACAAGAACTCATTTGTGGTTTGCATGTGCCACTATTAAAAAGAGTTGGAGTGGCATGAATAAACCACCTTTGCGACATAAGATCATAAGTCTGAAATAAATCTAGGGTGATAAATCAGATAAAATTAATATCAAATTAAGATAGGGTTTGCAAAAAATATTCGCATAACAAAAACAAACTCGTTTGCTATGAGCAAAAAATTATTCTGAAAATGACTTTTACCAAACCATTTTTAAAAAAGATTGTCATAGAAAAAAAAATTCTGGAGTCTTTAAATTATCTTTACTTAGGAGATATGTTGCAAATATCGAAGTATGATTGACAAAGAAAATGCTAACACTCAAAACTAGCGTGAAACTACACAAATATGCAGAGAGATGAACAATTTATCTTGATCCGGCTTGTTGAAGAAGGACTTTAAATCAACTTTATACCTATGTAATAATAGACCTACAGCATTTAATAAATTTTTGTAATTTATTTTTGGAGATATCTCCCCACAGTATTCATTGTTATTCTATCCATACCATCTCTTGAAATCCCAACATTTCCCTTCAAAATCCAAACTCTTTCTTAATAATACTCTAAAAACCAATCAGCCCTGTTATATCTGTTGTATTCTCCAACATCTCTCGAAACTCTCTTAATCTCCTTTAATCCTCCATCGAACTCCTATGCCATACTTTGAATATTATCTTAAGCATATTATCTATAGAGAGTATTCCATAGACAACACCTTATTCCTCTTTTGACAATCTTCTCAACCTGTTAAAACGATTCCTACATTTAAAATACCCTTAATCCTCTTCCATACAACAGCGAATCGTTTTTTCGTCAAAAACCATGAATAACAACTAATTCCCTCATGTACCACTAAGTTTACTAGGTTCCAAGGGCATCTCCTAACAACTACCAAATCACTACCTTTACCTTTACTTATCAAACCTCTACTTATTTTCTTTGATCCCATTATTACTTGCTATATGCGTCACATTGAATGCGAAAATTTCGTGGTGTTACACTGTCTTTCATATACTTCTTTGGCAATTCAGAAAAATTCTGAAAAGTCAAACCTCTCCAAAGCCTGCGGTACTTCTTCATAATTCTTTATTATCTCTCATTATCTTAAACCCTTTTTTATATCTCTTATCTAATCTTTATTATCTAATCTCTTCAAATGCAATTGTAGCACCACCCAGAAGGATGATTAAGTTAAAGTAGAGTTTGAAGAGATTTTGCGAGCATATAACATAGATTGGTACACCATGATTTAAAAACATCTACAGGTGTTTCCAATTCATATTTTATAAATCAATATTCTTGCTTAGAGTCGCTTTAAACTATCAAACTATCAAATTGAATAAATTTGTAATTATAATTATAATTATTCAATAATTCCATTATAAATTCAATAGCATAATCTAATCCATAAACTCAAAAAATAATTCAAATATGAACTGGTTCAAATAATATGAAAATTTTTTACCGATAATTTACCTCAATGACTGAATCGATATCGTCTTTATGAATACCGACCGCTACTCGCATAAACATGTGCTGTGGACGTTCTATAATGCCGGATTCATTTCTCAAAAGGTAAGATCTCTCAAGCGTTTTAAACCCAAAATATGTGAAAGAAAAGTCGCGATCATGTACTATCGCCGAATCCAATATCTAAATAAATTATGATTAATAATTTCACACATATTATCGACTAAAAGCTGATAATCGAATAATGGCAAAATAGAAGAACCTTAAACAAAAGAAATTTAATTAAAACTAACATTAGCATTCTGCATAATGATGTTATAAATTTCTTCACTTATCATTGGAGAATTTCGACCAGTTCGAACATTTTTTGCATGATAAAGATTGGAAGCGACTTGTGAAAAGATCTGTAAATTAGTAATTCAGTCAACAGACAGATCGTTGGGAACATTCAAAAAATATTCCATATGCATTTTCATATGTAAATACGCGAAGGACAATACAAGAAACAACCTTTTCTGTATTTTTATGTAAATTTGAAATGGCTATCCGCGCAGCAAGAATTGCATAATCCGGATGAATTGTTGTCATATCAGCAGCTGTTTCTGCCGCAAGATTATCCAATTCGGCGGTTGATACGCCTTTATAAAGTCCCATAATCACCTTCTTCGAAACCTCGATCTGAAAGATTAATAGAGAAAACTCGTAGAAAAACGGTTCATTTGATGTTTTTTTAAAACTTTTTAACTACAATAAATTTACAAATTTATGGAATTTGTGAAAAATTTCAAATTATACATAGTCGACATGATCAGGATTGAGTCCATAGCACAGCTTTTCAATCCGATGCGAAATTTTGTCGAAGTGAATTGCTTCATGACGTCCATCTATAGAAGAAATAAAATTTATTAGTATGTATATCTAAATTACTAAAATTATTCAATTATTTAACCCTAATAAAGTCGAAATCCAAATATCTTTTAAACAACATTTTAAAAAAACGAATGAGAAGAAAAGAAAAAAATTCTGAAAAATAAATTCCAAATTCTGTTACCTCTCTTCACAACGTAATTGCTTGAACATCTTTTGAAGCTAGCCATTAATTTAATTGAACTTTGCTGAATGTGTGCTGAAATATTATTAGCATTAATAAGTGATAAATAAAAATTTCAACATAATTTCTCGCCATTTTTTTTTTTTGAATGTAAATAGATAGTAAATAGATAGCAAATGTGTTCTTTCTTAATATTTTCAGCAATAATAATATTAGAAAAAGAAAATATCAAATGCCTATTTTCTAGCAGATTTAAATTTTCAAAATAATGTTCTCAAAATAATGAACAAAGAATAAAGAAAAAGAACCAAAAATAATTTAAAAAATATAATAAAGTAAAAAACATAATAGGATTGGCTTAAAGAATTGCCCATATTTTTCGAAGCGCCTTCGGTGCTGCATTTCTATCTCCGACAGAAGTTTTTTTTTTTGAACAGTCCTCACTATCACTGGTTAAACTCGTTCCACTGGCTTGTCGCATTGGATAAATATGCCAGAGAATCCCTTTAACGATAAAAATATGAGCCCCTAGCATCATCCGATTTTTGTACAGGTTTACTCCTGCGGGGAATCGAACCTCAGATCGGCGCTCCCAATTGCAACAACCCACTAAGCCATCCTATCCCCCTCCGACAGAAGTAACCCTTTAAAAATCCTGGTGGTGCCATATTTCCATCACCAACTAACTTCCTAACAAAATCTGCCCGGCCAGATAAGCCAAAAGAGTTACCTAACGGTGAAATGGTGAGAGCTCTTAGAAAATAAAAAATCATCAAAACATATTTGCAAAAATTTATAAAATTTTAATAGAAAGTAATTATGAAAAAAGGAATAAAGCATTTCTCGCATCAACAAAGCACATTTTGCTTATATTTTATTTATTTCTCTTATAAAATTTAAAATTTATAATCATTCAATTCTCTTATAAAATTTAAAATTTATAATCATTCAATCAAATTTATAATCATTCAATTCTTCCTTTAAGCCATTTAGCTTTTTTCCACTAGAGAAGAAACTTTAAATGCCCACGGGTAAAGAGGAATGAGCAAATGCAGAGCTCAGACCTCAGCCCAAACCTGAGGCCTAAGGCATTTGACGCGAGTGAACTCAGGCCACCCAAAGCTCTAAATAGTCATCGCCCATTCCACAACTATCCAAGCAACTAACTTCTCGGAGAGCCAGATGAAAAGACTCTTCCCGCCAAAGTTCCCGCCATAATTGAAATTGACGGCCACCTTCGTCTGATTTTGAAAAACCTAGAAAAGCTCGGCCCTCTTATCTCATCCTCATGATAACCACGATACTTTGGTATGCAACAGAAATCATACTTACCACTATCGCACATAATATTAAAAAACTGGTTTTGACTGGTTATTTCTACCACTTCTTCAAGGGAATAATTTGTATTCGTTTAATTGCGTAGGATGATTCAATTATTTATTATTGCAGTGCCATGAAATTTTAATCTTTAGGACCACTTAGGAAGATCCTGAGAACCTGGGGCCACACTTCAGGTACCACCAATATAGACTCTTTAAATATGAATAATACTGCAGGTAACCGATTGAACCGATGTAAATAGTTAAAATGGTTAAAATGAATCGCTATCTGAAATAGTCTCAAGTTTTTCTCATCCTTATTTTATTTGAAGCTTATGGAAGACACTTTTTGAGAACCCTAACGTCGTTTGCCGAAATGCGAGCAACAACCCACTGAGCCACACAAGCTCCATTATTTATTAGATGCTAATTTATCAATTTTATTAGCGAATAATAGCAACAAAACAAAATACAGATTACAAATAGTTGAAATTGTATCCTATGGATCTGCAAAATTAAAAAGTGGATAACTGATTAATAAACCAAATTACATCAAAATTTACATCATTTTAATGATTATTTCTATAAAAACTAAATTAAACCATTTAAATTTGGCCACTAAAAAAAAGAAAAAACGAAAATCGAATGAAAGCAAAATATATCAAAATAGAGCAAACAATTGAAAATATACGGCCGAAAAGGAGAATATGAATGAGGTTTGCAATAACCTGAATTAGCTGATTATAAAATAATAAAGTAACCCACAAGAACAAAAGCAAATTTTGTCAATAAATTTAAATTTATATATAGACATTGGTCTCAGGTTAGAGATGCACTAGAAAATGGATCTGATAACCTAAATGCTTCTTCTAACAGCCCTCACTATCATTGATTACGATAGCTCCATTGTCTAAGACATTTCGAGCTGCGCGATCTGATGCCATCATGGATAGTAATAGAAGCCATTCCTTTTTCCATCATCTAAGTCCATATATTCTTGGTATTACACGTTCAAAATTTTTTCTGGCCGTATTAGTCCAGGTCCTGATTGGCCCACTTCGCTTTGGACGTCAACCATCACACGGTTTAGCAAGTAAAGAAATATGCGACAATTCTTGTGGTGGATGGCAGAGAACGTGCTCCAACCAGCGAAGGCGACGCTCTGTGCTAACATTATTAATACAGGTGGTACTTGAGCGACACAATCACGTGCGATTTCCGCTCGACTCGACTCGCTCGACAGATCCGTAGAATATACCTTATACATGAATGGTCAAAGGCTAATAGCTATATGGAGGCGAATTTTCGTCCTTATGGTGATTTTGCGACAGTTACATAAAGGTTTCATCAACCGGAAAAATTCTAGCTGCCGTTATCCGGACTACGATTTCATCCTTCGCCACTTGGGATTAGAGGGAATTCAAGGTATTTAAAGTCCAGCACTTCTTCAACTGGCAATGAATTGATAAAAATAGATATTTTATCAGGAACTAAGAATATAAGAAGGAATATAAGAAGAAAAAAGAAAATACTTTCGTTTTATTTACATTGATTTATATTTTTGAGTCCAATTTTCGCTGCAATCGTTGACACATTGTTTACCATTATTTCCTCACAACTATTAGCAAAAATGACTACATCAGTGTATTCTAGGTCTATGATGCTATGTTCTGGACTGATTTGCACATTCCCCTCTTGAGTGTCGACAAGCGATACACTTTTCCAGTCTATTATATAGTTGAATATTGTGGGGAAAGAATGCAGCCCTAACGGAGACCAGTTCAAAGGAATCTGCCAGTTTCTCAAATACATAGATACTTCGCCAGTGTATGCTAATAAAATGGCTTTATGAGCCGAATGATCTCTGGAACACCGTCATATTCCATCACTTTCCAGAGTGCTGCTCTATCAATCGAATCGAAAGCAGCTGCAAAATCGATAAAGCAAGTGACGGTGGGTTGCTGGTATTTGAAGCGATATTTCAGCATTCTTATTAGCGTAAATATCTCAGTTCAACAGCGTGTGGATCCAGCTTGGTTAGGACTCATTTTTTTCTTAGGAATGGGAAGTAGAATTGCTTTGTTCCAGTCTTCTGGTATTATTTCTCTTTGCCATACCAGAGATATTTTTGTTGAAGGTGAATTATGAATGATAATGGACAACATTTGAAGATCTCGCGCCGGAGGTTTGATTGATCTTTAGTTTATGGATTACAGAGGTTATTTCCTCTTCTGTTGGTGGCTTACAATTGCAAACGTAAGGCTCAACGGGCAAATCAGTTATATTCTGGACAATAAATGGTGGGCCGTGGTTAAGTTTGCCCTCAAAAAATTCTTTCCATCTTCTGAGGCGATCTTTGACAGTTTTAATAGGCACCCCATTAATATCCCGTACCATTTCACTGATCGTTGTTCGAATTATAGTTGCTTTATGAAGAAGACGGAAAAATTTTCTATTATCCCTATCCGAGTCGCTGACTCCATTCTCAAGGCCATGTCGCTCCAATAGCGAATTTTGTTCCACTGTGCCGTTTTCATTGCAAATCTTCGAAGTAGTCATGATCATCTGACATTCGTGCTTTGGCAGCTTTTTTAGACAGTTGGACAGTTGCTTCCGATACCCAACTAGCACATTTCCTATTAGTATGCCCTAATGTGGAAGTGGATGACTTTTGTAAGCATGTGTCTTTAGTTGGGAGCATTATTCATTCGCCGTTCCAGAGATATCATCGACATTCATTTTAATGAGGTGTTTCAATAATGCGGTTTGAAATGCGCTTATCGTTCCCGGATCTTTTAATTTGAAATAGTTGATCTTGGGATGTTTCTTACGATTTATGTTTTATACGAATTTTGAAAATGGCTCGAACCATAGCATGATCTGATCCATGGCGGTTACCAGTTTCAGCGTCCCGATAAGGAACAACTATCAAGAACTCTTCTAGCAGTGAATATATAGTCAATCTGATTGGAATATTGGTTGTCCGGATAATTCCACGTGACTAGATGTTTCCTTCGACGCTGAAAGCATATATTAATAACAAAGAGTTCATGCTCTTCAGTAAAACCAAGAAGGGGTTCTCCATTGGTGCATTGGGCATCGATGTAATATTTGCCAATCATCGAACAGAATTCATCGAAACGGCATCATGACCTACGCGCACATTCCAGTCTCCTTCGAGTAACCCCTTCTTGGTTTTCGAGTATGACCATCTCTATTCTTGTTAGGGATATTGGGGATATTGTTAACAGTTGAAGTTCCGCATAGAACTAATTCTTTGGCCTTGGCCAAGTCTTTGGCCAAAACTTAGGATTAAGCCAGGAACTAGTCCTAGGCACA